ATCTGCAGAACTGAGCAGAACTTGAACTTTGATCTTAAAAGCAACAATGGAAGCCAAAGACAGTGGAATGATGCCTTCATTTAGCTGAAAGTAAATAACTGCCAAGTTAGAATTCTGTCTCAGTTCAAATTATTTTCAAAAATGAAGATGAAATAATATTTTCTTAGGCAAAAACTGAATTTGCCATCTGCAAGACATATATGTATAAGATATAAAACAACAACAACAACAATAATAATAATATGTGGATTAAAAAAAAGAACTAAGATACATGATAACAAACAACCCAAAATGATCATCATTTGATGAATACATAAACAAAATGTGGTCTATCCATACAATGGAATTTTTTTAGCTATAAAATGGAAGTATTGATACATGCATAGCATGAATAAACCTTGAAAACATTATACTGAGTGAAAGAGGCCAGTCACACAACACTGCACATTGTATAGTTCTAGTTATATGAAATGTCCAGCACAGACAAATCTATAGAGAAAGTAGATTAGTGGTTTCCTACAGCTGGGGGTTGGGAGGAAATGGGGAGGGGTGACTAGCAATGGGTATGGGATTTCTTTTTGGGGAGTGATAAAAATGTTCTAAAATGAATTGTAGTGGTTGGCTGCACAACTCTGTGACTACACTAAAACGTTAAATTGTACACTTTAAATGGGGGAATTGTTTGGTATGTGAATTATATCTCAGTAAAACTGTCATAAAACATACATGACAACAAAATGTATAGTTTGAGTAGAGGAAGTATAAATTGAGTTAAAATGTTCTAATTTCCTTTTACTGTTTGGTAGTAGGATAAATGTATTCATATATTAGGTACATATGTTGACTTTCTAGGATAGCTGCTAAAATGATATAAACAGAGTGTACCCAAACTAGTAGAGGGAGAATAATGGATTGACAATAAATAATCAGTTGAAAAGATATCAAGAAAGAATACCAAAAGAAGGCCAAACAACACCCTGAAATCAAAAGAGAAAAATTGTCAGGTTGAATAAAAAATAAAATCCAACAATAACCTTTTTACAAACACTACCTAAAGAATAAGGATACAGAAAAATTGAAAGTAAGATGATGGATAAAAAGACATACTATGCAAATACTAGAAAAATGAAGCTGATATAGCTGTCTTAATATTAGACAAAATTACTTTAAGACGAAAAGCACTTCTAGAAATAAAGAGGGTCATATTGTACTGATAAAGATTTGACTAACCAAGAAAATATCATTTTAAATATGTATGTACCTAATTATGAAACCTTGAAATATGCAATGCACAAATTCAGACAACTAGCAGGAAAAATGGATAATCATAGTGGTGATTTCCGCTTTCAGTAATTGATAGAACAAGAGTTAAAACATCAGTAAGGATTTAGATGATTAGAATAATATGATGAACAAATGTAATGAATTAAACATATTTAGAACATTGTACCCAACAACTGGAAAATTTTAAGCACACATTTCCCTCCAAATTAACAGTACACTGTGACATAAAATTATTCTCAAAGTTCAAAGAATTGAAACAATTCAGGTATTATAACCTCAATGAAATTAAGCTTGAAAAATCAAAGAAATCAGTTATAAACAGGAAGATATATTGGGTAGTTGGAAAAGTCATGACGTATTTTTGCAACAAAAAACAGAGAAAAAATACGTCATGACTTTTCTCACAACCCAATAGTATGCTGGGAATTTTTTAAACATTCTAAAGTGGGTCAAGAAGTAATATAATGAAAGTCAGAAAATATTTTTAACTCAGTGATAAGAAAAATACTTCAAAAGTTGTGGAATGTATCTAAATGAATACTTAGAGGGAAATGTGTAGCCCTAAAGACCTATATTAGAAGAAAAAAAGACTAAAAAAATTAATGAACTAAGCATCATTGTTAAGAAGTAACAAAAAGACTGTACACCTGAAACTAATATAAAATAATATTGAATGTCAACTAATATATATATATATAATTTTTATAATATGATATGGAAAGAATTCAAAGAACTACATAATATAGCTGTAACAAACCTATCTCCATTGGCTTTTTACCATAAACCAGATTTCTCATTTCTTATATTTGTGAAAACTAAAATGGAATTTGTCTGAATCCTTATTTTATTCAGCAATAGCTAACATACATCCACAGGCCCTCAGCTAAGCAGGAAAAAGAAAAACTCAACCATGTCATCTATTGGTGTATATCCAGTAAAGTTTTACTTCTTATATTATTATTTATCAAAATTTATAATACAATATGTTGCTCTGTTCAATTGTATACTGAAAATAATTATAAGATTAACTTAATCCAGAGCAAAATTTTTATTGCTTAGAAACTTAGACACAAGGAAATAAAATTAAAAATTTTTCACACATATTTTTGTAACATAAATATGATAGGATCAACAAAAGTGTTTCAAGTATATTACATTAGGATAAGATTCTGTGAGAGAAGTGGAATGGAAATATGAGTTTAAGGAGAAAAGGTATTAAAATTTTTATTAAAGAAAAGTTTGTTCATATTTTTAAAATTAATATTGGCCATTAAATCACCATAGTATGTAGATTCCATTGGATATATTTTAAATAGTGATTGATATATTTTAAAATGATGCAAAAGTTTTATTTGATACATACTTGAAAGTATAACATTTGCAGCTATTTAAGATTGTGGAGAGAAGTTTTCAGTGCCAACTTAAACATGTGTGAAGGGGTACATGTTTTTCAAAATTATTTTAGTGAATATATGAACAAGTAATTTAAAAAGTTACTGATCAACTACAGCTGAGGAGGAGAAGCCAGAAAAGAAGTCTGAGAAGGAGGGCCCTGTGAGAGAAGAAGCAAAATTCTATTAACCTCAAGGCCTAATGAAGAAAATATTTCAGGAAGGAAGAAGAAAACGTGTCAAACGATGATGAGAGATGAGTAAAATGAAGGCTGAAAATGGACCACTGGCGTTGGAAACAAGGCCATCTTAAGGGTCCTTGAGTAGAGAGGTTTTAATGGAGCAATAGAAATGGAAGCCTGAGTAGGCCATAAAGAAAATGGGGAAGTGAAAGCAGTGGGCAGCTCATTTTAGGGGGTCTGATATAAAGGTAACAGCATTGGAGCTAATGATGGAGAGGGATGTGAAATCTAGGGAGGGGAGACATTTATGGATAACCAAAGCTGTTAGTCACAGGAGCCAAGTCTAAAATAAGCAATAAGGGATAAAATCCAGTGTAAAAGTGGCACATTCAGCCTTAAAGAGAGGAAAGCATATACAGTTTACTGTAATGGGAAGGAAGGCTGACAAAGATGTAGGTAGGCTCAAAGATTTGGTGTGCAAGGGAGATTATTTTCTCGAAGTTCCTAATGTATAAGACGTAAGGTCAACAGCTGAGTGTAGGAAAGAGAAGACGACTTTGGAGGTTTGAAGAGTGAGGGCAATGCAATAGTAATACTGGATGGTGCTTAGCCTATTTAAAAGTTGTGCTCATAAATTTGAGCTCATGTATTTTTCTCTCTCTGGCAAGATTCATATTGCTAGCATAGAATAAATAGAGAGTTAGTTGAGTTTAACTAGAACTAGGAATTTGCCAGCTAACCCCCTCAGAGGCGGGGAAATAGAGGTAGAGATATATGTTCGTGATTATGGTGATGAACCGTGAAATCTAACCTCAGTAAGGAAGAAGTGAAGATATATATGAGGGGGTTGATGAACAATGAAAAAGTGGCAGGGCTAATGGAGATTCCAAATGAACCATCCTGCAGAAGGTGAGCCAAAAAGTAAAGATGGTCATCCAAGAGTATATATCCCAAGGACTAATGAATCACTCTTGATTCCTAAATTTAGAGGATACTCTTCTTCTATACTGTTCCCTTAGGGAAAATGGAGGAGAGGTGGTTATCACCAAGATAGTTCTCAAATCTGTAATCTATAGTCCTGATCTCTTTGCTAAACCTCAGTTTTCCAATCTTAACGCCTGCAAGCATTGCCTTGGATGCTCCGCCAGCACTTCAAACTAATTATATTTAAACTCCTTTAAACAATTTCTTACGAATTTACTTGTTTTGGACCACCATTCTTAGTTTTGATTCTTTTCTGACTCCTTCCTCTTCTTGACCCCAGTTTAATCATTATCAAGTAAGTTATCTTATAAAGTATTTATTGAACCTATTCTCCTATCTGCATTTACATTGTCATGACTTGATTATTAATAGTAACCAAAATAGTACCCACTTTATAATCATTTTTTCCCCTAATACCAGGTTAGTTTTCAAAGTTATATTCTTAATAGCCATAGCCCTTCTCAAAAACTTTTAGGGGGGTTCCATTTCTTTTAGAATAATATCCAAACCCTATCACATAAGCGTCCGTTGTCTTTTCCATTCTCATTTCCATCATTACATTTTCTTGGAGCCTTCCCGGGGCCCACTCATCTTGTTGAACTCTCCAGTGCTCTCTGAACTCCGCGTCATATGCCTGCATTTCCCTCTTCTTGGGATATCTTCCCCTCCTATCTGAATGTTAAAGTCTTTGGGGCATAAACTTAAATAGTACCTGCTCTATAAAATTTTACTTGATCCCAGCTGTTAAAAATAATCTCTCCTTCCTCCAAACTTGCAAAATAACTATCTGTTAGTCATAAAAATGTCTTTAATTTTAATAGACATGTTGCAGTGTTAAAACTGTTTTTACATATGTTTTCATTCTTACAACAATGTCACGAGGTTATATTAAGCACCATTTTAAAGATGTGAAAACTGGAATGCGAGTTACTTAAATTGTATATGCTTGTCACTGTTTTTCTTGGCTTTGAATAATATATATACTTATTTTTCTTGTTTTCACATTTTGTCCTCAATGCACTGAGTCAACGCTTTGCACATAATAATAGGTGGTCTTGTTTGAATGAGCGAAAGACTGGGTTTATGGAAACAAAAGTGTGTTTTATAGTTACTATTTGAGGAATATGTGTTTTTAAGTTATTTGGGTGCATGTTACCAGCCTTTCTTTTATGTTGCGGCCTTTGTTAAGTCTGGCCGGAAGAAAAAGAAAACCACGAAAGCTGAGCGATTGAAGCAGCTCCAAGAGGAGGAGGAGAGACGACAAAAAGAGGAAGGTAAGAAGTGCCCAATGATGCTGTTTTCATATGCTAGTGATGCTAACAATAGGTAGGTATTTCTGTAATCCAGTCAACATTTTAAAAAAGAATCTTCAAAATTATTTTTCAAATTTAACCTGTCTCATATTAGATATCTACTATTTAAAGGGTACCTAGAAAGTTGTTAGTACATACCAACCACTTTCAGATATATCTTGAAGTGGAGTTGCCAGATAAAATACAGGATGCTCAGTTAAGTTTGAATTTCAGATAAGCAGTGGATGACTTGGTATAATTTGCCTTATGCAATATTTGGGACATACTTAAAGAAAAACAAAAACAAAACGAGAGAGAAAGAAAAGTAAAGAAAAAAGTCCATTGTTTATCTGAAATTGAAATTCAACTGAGCATCTTTTATTTTTATGTGTTAACTTTGAAAACCTACTAGAAGTGATGATATTTATTGGTGAAATTAGGGGCATTGATGCTGATAGTGCAGTAAGAACCCTGAAACTCAAATTCATTTAATATGGGAAATATGCACTAGCAAGAAAAACACACAGCTGCCTACATTCTTATAGTTTAATGATACTTACTTGTCAAATTTAAAGAGGACTTTCATTTGTTTAAAAAAATCAATTAAAATTAATAAAAATAGTTATTTAAAATACAAAAAAATGATTTAAAAAATCTGAATATTTCAAGTGGTTGTAGCTTTTAGAATATCTGTGTATTAAGATTCAGGTTTTAAGTCTGCAGGTTCCATGCTTATATTTTATGTATAATCATATAAACCCTTTTTAGGTGACTCATGATAAGAATAGAACATCAGGATATAGATCTTGGAGAATGCATATTCTTCAACACATGTATCATATTTTTTTTAATAGTGAAAACAAGAGAAGGTTAAGTTACTTGCTTTGATGATGTAGAGATCACAAGATTATGAAAACCTTCTGAAGTTTACCTCTCCTTAATTACCCATGATAGAGCTGTCATTTTTTTATTGGCTAAAATCATTATTGAATTGCTATAAACTTTTTAGAGAAGAGAACTATGATTGTCAGTCTGTTTTGGGTTTTTTGTTTTTTTTTTGCCAGAAAGTTTGAGAGTCATGTTACTGTTTTGAAAGAAATCTAGCACTTATCTTATTTCTATCACATAATACAGGTTGTGACTTCTATAAAATACACCTCCACCATTACCTCTTGCAAATATTTGAGGTAACTTTAAGGACTTAAAAGCAGATTTATTGAATTGCTGAGAAAAATTTCTTTTTTGGTTCTGTAGAGGAAGCCCGTGTGAAATCTGAAAAAGAAGAAATGCAAAGGCTTGAAATAGAACGAATTGAGAAAGAAAAATGGCAACAACTTGAAGCAAAAGTAAATAAACATTAATGATGTTATTAATGAAGACAAACTACGTGGCTATCAGATCCGTGTTGGTCATTTAATGCCATTCTCCTCCAGAAACTATTTAGACCTGTATGAACTGGCTTAACTCATTTCATCCTACCATAAAATTAGTGACATTACCACCCACGTTTCACAGATAAGGAAATTGAGGAACTGAGAAATCAAGCGAGGTCAGAATCAGGATCTGAACCCATGCTTGTAACCATTGACTTATTATACTCAATCTGTTTTATAAATAATTAAACAAGCCCTCCACCCCAAGAATTAAAAGGCTATCTCTCCTTTTTTTAGTTTTACTTCTCTTTTCCACCCTAATTTTTCAGATCAGTAGTTATAAGATATTTTAATCTCAGGGAAAAACCTCATTACTTTGAAAATATGAGCTTTTGTTTATGTGGACTCTATCAATATTTACTGTAGTAGACATTAAAACAAATTTAAAAACACATATTAATAGACATTAAAAATGGTTAAAAATAAACATTAATAAAAATTAGTAAATACATATTAACATTTTTAAGAAAACAACTATATAATTATAATATATATTATTGAGCTGTAATTGACATATAACATTATATTAGTTTCAGACATACAGCATAATGATTCAATGTTTGTACATATTGTGAAATGATAACCACAGTAAGCCTAGTTGACATCCATCACCACACATTATATATTGTTTTAAATTAGGGAAATGCAGGGCTTGTTTATATTTTTAAAATCCCTTTAATGTCTGACTTAACCGAAGACAACAAGATTCTCATATCTACTTCAAGAGTCCATCTGTTACAGTGTATTGTTTTGATTTGAGTATATGAAGACAATCTGTCCTCACCCAGACATATAGTTGGAAAAAGGAGGAATATTATAATAGCCTTACAGATAAATTTGGACAGTCTTCTTTGATACTATACCAAAACCAATAAGTGGTAGTTTCTTAATGTGGAATCTGAAACCATATCAATGAACTTTATATACTCTTTTATGCTAAAACATTGATCTATCTTACACCATGAATAGATTTTGTATTCATGCATGATTTTGCAGTATCATGTATTAGTTGCTTGGAAAATTTTGGTTCACTGAATTATTTGTTATCAAATGTTGACCCATTTTTATTATTCATTATAAAAAAAAATACCAGCATTAATGTCATCTCTAATCAAATCAGAAAAGTTTTTAAGGATTGGGGAACTGTCAGGCTCACAGTGGGCAGATACAAGTTTTCTAAAATTTGAAACTTTATTTGAAAGCTTGAATTTTATCATTTGCAACAAACACTTTAAATTGTTTCCTGGAAGTGACACGCTCAATTCATTCATTTTTGAGAGAATACATGCCAAACTACTCCATAATTGCACGAGTATTTATTTCTAAAGACAGTATTGTCCTTTGATATACAACAGATGGGCTTTATTCATAACTCCCATTTTATCACACAGAATATTAAAAAGACTTATACTTAAAGGTTAACATTTAATAAAATTAATTTTCACTTCTTCATCAGGTTCATTCTTATGTGAAACTAGCTCTTTATCCCCCCCCCCTTGCCCATGGAGAATATGACCACTAACTAGTACAGTCTGTGCCTTGCTTTACGCTAAGTCGCCAGCAGTTTTACACCATCTTGCACAATCGGTGTGAATGTGTACACTGTGAAAAAGGCAAATAATGTCTTAGTATTATTATGAAAATAGACCTGACCTCACAGATCCCAAGATAGTCCTGAGGATCCACCAGGAGTCTGTAGCTTACACTTTGCAAACCACTGTTTGAGATGAAACCTTTTGGAAATATCAGTTACCATACATTCAAACTACTTTCAGTATTTATGCTGAAACTAACTACTTTGCCAAGTAAATTTTCGATGCTACTTGTAAAACACAAAGCTGAATTATAGAATAAATCAATGTATCCCTGTGCAACAGGATCTAGAGAGGAGAAATGAAGAATTTGAAGAACTTTATTTATTAGAGGGGTGTTTTCCTGAAGCAGAGAAATTGAAACAAAATAATAGATTGCTTTCTCAGGTAAGACTGATTTTTTTTTTATTAACACTTTGTACCACAAGAGGGAGTTATAGTCTGATATCCTTTTTAGTCCCACGAAACTTTAAATTTGTCTATAAAAAATCTCTAATCTGAAGAATTGCCTGTAGCAAAGTAAATTCTTATGGCTTTGTAGAAAACTATTTGTCAACAATAAGACCCTGGAAATTTTTGTATCCTTTGACTCTGACAATATAGGTGATTATCAGAAGAAAAAAGGAAAAACTAATAATATGGCAAAGGATGAATATGGTATAATTTTAAGCCAAAAGATTGTGATTACAATATGATCACAAATATAGAATTTACATCCACTAAAAAATGAGTGGAAGGTCTCAAACTAAAATGCCAATGATGATTAACATTTAATAATAATATGAGAAGTAGAAATTAACCCAAGTGTTGGCTTTTGTAAATATAGGAGCTATAGGATTAGCGAGGAAAGCAAAATAAAACCAACACATAAATACTGTTTTAAAAATTAAAATATGACAATAAATAGAATTAGTATTTTGAATTATTGAGGCTTACAAACTATTTGATGAAGAGGAATTTGGTTATTTTAGGGATAACTCAAGTAACTTAGTTAAAATCATGATATGTTTTTTGCCTAAATTGGGAAAGCTAGGTTATGAGAACTTGTACTTTAAAAAGAAGTAATTTAATATTTGGTTGAATTCTCATTAGTGTGACCCTTCAAACATTTTTGTTCCATAGTGGAAACACTACATCCAATGTGATGGGAGTCCCGACCCTTCAGTAGCCCAGGAGATTAACACTTTCATTAGCTTGTGGAAAGAGGAAGCCAATGAGACTTTTGAGGAAGTTATTGACAAGAGTAAACTAGTTCTGCATGTAAGTACTTAAGTATTATTCCATAGTTTTAAATTATTGAAATTACAAATTCATCCTAAAAAAAGAAATAAATATGATATTTTCCAATTAATAACATTACTGATTCCTAGGCTATGGAGAAAAATATTTGCTAATCTTTTTTCTTTTTTTTTTAACTCCTAAGCACGTCTTAACGCCTTTAGATAAGGTCAACAAACATGAATGTGAAACGTTAATTATATGTGTGTCTAATTCAAGCAAAGAATAAGTTAAGTTGCATCCATTTATGTAGATAACTTGGGGGAAGTGCATAATTTTATCCTTAATTGGCATTATTCACTATTCAGTGATTCGGTAGGCATATTTTTTAATGTTAACTATGTGCCAGGCACCTGCTCTTTTAAGCACTGGAAGTACAAAGAAGAATAAGAATAGCCCACATTCTATTGCTGCAAATAGGATAGATAGGCTAGCCTGAGGAGCTACCACTTTACAATGCACTTAAAAATGCTAGAAAAAAACATTTTGAAATGATTTAAGCCCATTGCCTAGTTCAAAAGAAAGTAAGGGAAAATCTTGGAGGTCATAAAACAATTTAGAAAAGTGGGCAAGTGTAGAAGGCAATGGCTTCCCAGAAAGTCCCTGTTAACCCCTGGTGGCTTAACATGGGTTTAAAGGGCCCTCAGAAGGCAAAGCCTAGGGCACATGCACAGTGACAAATGAATGAGACCTCCTGTCAGGCTGGGAGCCTAAAAAAGGTATGGTGGATAATAGGGAAAAAACTTAACTCTGCAGAGGGAGATGATAGGAACTGGTCTGGCTCGTCTTTAGCTTAGTGAAGGGAAAACAAAAATGTCCGTTGAGAATTCTTAATCAAGAGTAGGTCAGAAGTTGGATAGAACAAGTTTACCAGAATACAGCAGAGACACAGATGGAAAATAGGGAAGAGCGGTTAACATGTAAGTATGATTGTGCAAGAAGGACTAAAACTTTATTGAAAAGGAGTACCAGAAGGAGCTATAGAAGAATGAGGAAGAGACAGTATTCAGAGATAATGACTGACAGTTTTCAGAACTGAGGAAAGACATAAACCTTCAGCTTCAAGAAATACAACAAATCCCAAGTTAGGATAAACAGAAAGAAATCCACACTTAGACCACACCTACATAACATTAGAAACTGAAAGGAATTCACCCTTCTTCGTCCTATTACACTTTATATTTTTTGTTTTAATTCCTCACCATATTTGTGTGTTTCTTGTCACTGTGGTTTACTTCTCCTCCATGTTGCTATAAATGGCCTAACTCCAGACTCAACAGAGCATATGACATGCGTTGCCTAATTTAATCTGGACAATGAGTTGATGAGTTTCATTGTACGTATGAAGAAATGTAGATTGCAACTTGTTACCATCCTCCATGAGACCTTAGAGGGGCCTCTGACTTTCCAAAGGCTCCAAAGAGCCACCCATACGCTGTGAGATATTTGGACACCAGTGGATTTATCACACAGTGTTCTTGTCATTGAACGAATAGCTCTCTACCAAAAAGACCACCATGGCCCACGGCTGGGCCAGGAACCTGGTGCTCTGCAGTTAGCAGGGTGGCAGCAGGAAGCAGCACTGGCATTCACCGCTGACGAGCTGCAAGTGGCGTCTTCCTGTTATGAATGTGGGGTACAACGTTACTGGAAATGAATAGTAGGGAAGATGAAACGTAACAGGAGACAGGAGAGCAATCATCGCAATAGGAGACTGAATTAGGAAGCCACAAGGAAGACAGACAGAAGTGGACAGCAGCGACCCCATGGTAAAAATCAAGCTCCAAATATCCAATGTACATATTTGACCAACTCTAAGATAACGCTTGCTATGCCAGGCTTTAGAAATAGTAACTTGCTGAATTTTCATAATAACCCTGTGAGGTAGGCACCATTATTCCCATTTTACAAATGAAGACGTCGAGGCACAGAGACATTAAATAGGTAACTTGCCCAGGATTGAAGCCCAGCTTCTGGCTTGAGTCCATACTACCCTATATTATGATGTTATGCTGCCTCTCTTAATTCAGAAATTTTCTATATATTATCTGTGTCAGTGTTCAAAACTAAATTCTGCCACTTACTAGTTGTTCCTCAGTCATGCTCTGTCTCTCTTTAAATACCTCTCCACTCTCTTCTTGTTTGCAGTTTCTGAGGAGTTGGTATCTAGGTCTTAACTTTGTTGTGTTTAAAGTAAGGTGTTTTTTCCCCTCTGGCTTCTGTCAGGGTTTTTTGTTTTTTTTTCTTTATCTTTGATTTTCTGTAGTTTGAAAATAGTATGCCTAAGGCAGTTTTTATAGGGGACATTTACCCTGGTTGGTATTCTCTGAGATTCGTGGATCTGTGATTTGTGTCTGACATTAATTTGGGGAAATTCTTAGTCATTATTATTTCAAATACTTCTTCTATTCCTTTCTCTGTCTCCTCAAATTTGTGATTTTTGCCTTTTGGTATGCCTTATAATTTTTCCTTGATAAGCAGGTATGATGTACTGGTTGAAAGGAATGACGGTAAATAGGCCTTGAGTGATGTGGTGATGGGGGGAGGGGAAGAGTTCTAAAGCTCCGTGATTAAGCCTCAGTGTTTTAGTCAACTGTGCCCTGGAATGTGAACTTCACACGTGTTTTTAAAGTTTCTTATCCCCTCCTTGGTGGGAGAGGGTGGCTAGGTAAGAGCCAGCTGGAATTGGGTATTTCCTTTCTCCCAGGTGAGCTAGGCTCTGATCAAACTCCACCATGTTAATCTCTGGTTAATTAGTTTCCAGAGGTCAGGCCTTGTTAAAAACAGTGTGCTCTGGCGTGTTTCAGAGTGGTTCCTGGCTTCCTTCCACTGCAGGAGGCATGAGGGGATTTTTCTCCCCGCTTTTTTTGTTGTTGTTGTGGGTACCTGCTTGAGCTCCTGGAGGTAAATCTCACAGTATTGTGGGCCCTCCCGCTGCCATGGCTGTCCTCCTGTTTTTCACTCTCAGAGAGGTCCACAGGCGCCTCCAGCAATTTGTCATTTACAGTTTTGGTTCTCCTACTGGGCGCTGGTTCCTGAGGTGATTTTGCTGCTGAGCCTGAGCCTCTGCTCTGGTAAGCTGTGACTCCCTGTATTCATTCACCTATAGGTGTCTCCAGCCTCCGGGGACAGGGATCTGCCCTGTGTCCTCCCCTCACTTATAGATCAAAGAAGAGTTGTTGATTTTTCAATGCGTTCTGCTTTTTACTGGTTGTTAGGACAGAGTGGCGTCTTCCAAGCTCCTTACAAGTGGAAGTGACAGTCCTACGTTTCCCCACCTATAAAATAAGCACAATAACGGTATCTGCCTCATAGAGTTATGATGAGGATTGAATGAATTAAACATACGAAGCATTTAGAATAGTTCCTGGCATGTAGTAAGCATTCAGTAAATATTAGTAATTTTCCTCTTCTCCTCCTCATTATGACCATATTGTTTGTTATTCCTATCCCACAGTCTTAGGTAATGGCAAGCTGTGCCTTATCTATCAACACGTCAATGAAAGCTCTGTTACACATGGTTGAGAATGCTTATAATGCAGCTTTGGGAGGAAATTTTTTCTTTTTCCATGCTCTGAGATAACATAAAAATCCTTTCCTGTATTAAGTCTATGTTTTACTGACAATAAGATGTGTTCCTCCATTCAAGTGTTAGAATATCTCCCTTTTCACTTTCTCTTTGACTATTTGTCAGATTTCATGTACTTTCATAGTAAATTTTTACTTTATACTTTTTCTTTATAGTTAATTGAGAAATTGAAATTAATTTTATTGGAAACGCCATCATATGATTTGCAAGATAAAAACATAACACAGTACCATGGGTCAATCCTGGAACTGCAGGAGCTCCTCCACCTTAAGTTTAACACAGCCACTGAAATCCTCCTCAGAGTAAGTGTGGTCTTTTGCTTACATGTTATTATTAACGTTTATAAGAGTTAAAATTTTATTCTGTATACTAATTAAAATGTTTTTAAAAAATTAAACAATTATGTAAAGGTCAGTGGAATAATTTAAGGCACATATATGTATCCATATTTAACCATTGTAAATATTTTTAAAGAAATAAAACATCAATATGGCTAAAGCCTAGTTTTTTATAAATTGTGTTTGCTAAGGTTTATTAGGATCACTATGAAAATAAATTTACAAAACATTATATATTAGATATTCACTCTAGATAAATAAGTTCATACAAGATTACTATTATGGGTAGTCACTCTATTTTTCCCAAATATCTTAGCACTAATGATAATATCCATAATAATATAATAAATAACCATAAAACCATTATTATACCTAAGAAAATTAATTAAAAATCCATGATATATTCTAATATCTGATCCATATTTAAATTTTCCCTACTAGACCATGAATATCTTCTATAGCTCTTTTTGTTTTATTTTTTTAATCAGAAAGCTAACATCACACATTGTTTTTGGCTATTTTGTCTCTTGGTTTCTTTTATTCCAGAACATAGTGCTAGCCTTGGTATAACCTTGGTAGAATATGTTCTAATTACAAAAAGAACTGCAAGGAAGGCTTAAACTTCACTAAGTTTATTATTAGTAGGAATATTCATATTATAATTTTGCAACTATTTTATTTATACTGTAAGAAAAAGCAGGTAAGGAAATGTATTGTAATAATCAAGATTTTTATTTTAAGAGAAAAGATACAGTGTATAAAAGAAAAATTAGAAAAAATACTGTAATGTTATATTTGAAATGGAAATATCAGTATGAACTGTATTTCTTTTTATTCCATAAAAACAAGCCAGTCCTTACTCGGGTAAATGGCTGATTTCAGGTCTGGGACAGGGAAAGTGAAACATAAGGTTGAATTGTCTTGTTCTAGAAAGCAAATAAATGCTCAAAGTCTAATGGAATCATATGTAAAAAAAATAGGACTAGCTTAGAGAATCTCCCACTAGTCAAATTTGGGACAATATGTATGTCAGAAAGAAGAATGACTAGATTTTTTTTTTTTTTTTTTAGCTGAGCCTTCCTGCTACCTGTTGGCAGCTCAGCGGCAGCTCAGCTCGGGCCGGAACTCAAACCGCTGTTGCTCAGAGCTTGCACTCTTGAGCGAGCTCTTAATCAACTGAGCCACTTGGCTGACCCATAATGACTATAACTTATTAAAACACATTGAATAAATAAAAACCCATGAATCTATAGTGATACTCCAAAAAAAAGGAGGAAGGTGGGGTGGTGGGTGAGGGAGAATAGTTCTTTACAGAACAATGTTATCTGATGAATGTAGAAGGAACGGCCTGTTAGGAGAATCACCATTTTTTAATCCCTAATGTAATAATTGATAAGGACCATCAATGGCTACCTAAATAGTTATGTAAAAAGATAAATTGTTGAGGAACACATTATTTTCATAGTGCCAAAGTATTTAGACCACAGATTCTTTACTGATTGGGAAAAATGTACTTTGTAATAGGGGGATGTGGGACGTCACTAACTGAATCAACTGATCAGACCCACGTAGTTAATGTTGGGACAAAATATGCCTCTTGATAGGATGTAATATGAAGGACACAACAAACCTACGATGCCTTCTTGCTAAAAATGATTTAACTCATCTAATTAAACCTACCTAGACCTAACTTCCAATGAAGAAAAGATAAGGGGATAGAGGAGCAAATTAAACAATACCATGAGGAAACAATCAGATAAATCCACAATGTAGAACAATTCTACAAGTGAACTTCAAAACATTAATTTCACAGGAAAAAAAAAAGGTGGGGGGATCACTTTTAAAAAACAGCAATAATTCAATCTCCAGTACTTTTAAGTTTTTACATTGTAGCAGCCAAATACATATTGACTTATTGAAGCCCTTTAAGAGAGCTCATTTGTTGAGCAATAGGTGCATCAAACTATGTTATTCTTTATTAAAATATTCTTAAGAATATCCTTAAATTATGTTTAATGTTGGATATCAAATGTTTGACTAGTAAAACACATGACTCATCTGTACTTCATAAACTGGATATTTTGTTTTCTAACCTTGATATATTCAGAAATAGACCAACTTTTTCAATAGCATAATCTACATTTTAATAAGGTACATATAAAGAAGCATGTGTATAGTTAAAATAAAAAGTCATGATGATGTTAAAATTGAAAAGGGTAACATAGCAATCTACACGTGCTACCTGGGCATAAAGGAGCAACTTTGATCCTTAGACACCTTAAGAGAAACTGAGTGGAAAAAGGAAGCACATTTAACTAAGTAAATATGTTTGTATCATATTGAGAATTTTTAAAGCAATTCTTTGTCATTTTGATTGAATCTTTTATTTATTTATTTATTTATTTATTTATTTGTAAAATAAACATTTTTTTAAAATTAGTTTCAGCTGTACAACACAGTGCAATAGTTATACTTTTTACCCCTCAAAGTGACAACCCCTTGCCCCCAATCTGCCACCCACTTCCCCCCCATATCATACATATCTATTACAATTTCCTTGACTCTACTCCCACACTATACTCCACTCCCACACTATACTCCACGTCCCATGACTATATATATTCACTTATAGTTGACATACAATATTATACAACATCAGCTTCAGGTGTACGTACGGTGCAGTGATCAAGCCTCTACCTCATCCATGAAGCAGTCTGCCTAACAAGACATGTGACCATCTGACACCCTACAAAATATTTACAACATTTTTCATTATAGTCCTCGAACTGACTTTCATATCCCTGTGGCAATATTTAGCTACCTATTTATGCTGTCTAATCCCTTCCCTTTCTCCCTCATCCCCACCCTGCTCCCAACTACAACCATCAATGTTCCTCTATATCTCTGAGACTATTTGTTTACGTTGCTTGTTCATTCAGTTTTTTAGATTCCACATATAAGTGAGATCATATGGTATTTGTCTTTTTTCAACTGACTTATTTCACTTAACATATTGTTCTCTAGGTCCATCCATATAGTTGCAAATGGTAGGATTTCATTCTTCTTTATAGCGGAGTAATACTCCATTGTATAAATGCACCACAGTTTCTTAATCCAGTCGTCTACAGATGGGTATTTCGGTTGTTTCCAAGTGTTGGCTATTGTAAATAGCGCTGCAATAAACATGGGGGTGCATGTATTTTTTCAAATTAGCGTCTTGGGTTTCTCTGGATAGATAACCAGCGAGTGAGTCTGTGTGCCGGCTCCACTGGTTCTCCACCCGCCTTCAGCCTCACCGAGTTGAGCAAAGAGAGTCCTCACTAATTTCTACTGCCAGCTATCGTAGTCCTCTTCCTGGCAAAGTAACTCTGGGCTGGTGAGCTCTGTTTGGGGCCGGAGGATTTCTCCCCTAACTGGAGAAGCCTCTCCACCGCTAAGGTGTTCCCTTCTCTCGTCTCTGCCCCTCCTACCAGACTTAATGTGGCCTCCTTTTTAAGTCCTTCGTTTAGAGGTTCTGTTGATCTAGTGTTCAGGGGACTTTGAGGTTGAATATTTTATAAATTATTTGTAATTTTGGTGTGATCCTGAGAGGCAGTTGGCACAGCATCTGTCTATTCTGCCATCTTACCAGACGTCCCTGATTGAATCTTATGTTTACCCAAATAACTCTTTTAAGTAATGGAAGAAATCTAACATCTAAGTGATGAAATAACCTCTTCAAGTTGTGTAATTTATGAGGCCCCTAATCTTTTATAATGTTTTCTTATAGGAAGCTAGTACTTTAGCAGATCTGGACAGTGGAAATATGGAAAAAATCATTCATGATGAAAATGTTACTCTATATGTGTGGGCAAACCTCAAGAAGAATCCAAGGTATTTCCATGGGTGATACTATAGGTTGAGAGACATTAGAGTCACATCATGATGACCAGGCAGATGCCTGTTAAATAACAGCATGGCATGCTGGGAAAAATCTATGGTAAGAAGTCAGCCAAATGGGGTTTGAATCATAGACCTACCATTTACCTTCAGTAAGTAACTTAGCTTCATTGAGCTTCAGTATATCAACAGTAAAATGATGATTATATTACTTAATAGGATTGGGTTGAGGATTAAATATTAATGAATGTGAAGTTCATAACATATTGTTTAGTACCAATATATGCTGAGTAAATATCAGGTCTTCCCCTTCTCTTCACCCACTTAACCTCCCTCACCTCAAAAAAAGTAGTAGTGGGAGGTGCTTTCTACAGGTCTAAAACTTAAAGAAAAACATTTGCGAACTGTTAAAAATAATGCTTTCCCCCAAAATAATGCTTTCATATTTATTATTTTTTAGAGATGTAAGTGATGTTTCCCCAGTTATTTTCAACAAAGAAACAGTTTTCTGAATGATAGTGGTAATGATAAATTCATGATCACTTGGTTGCTTCTTGATCATAAACATTTCAAATTAATTGAGTTAATATAGCAGTGAGTTTTAGGAAAAATTAACTAGAATAAAAGTTAGGAGAACTAGGTTCCGGTCCTAGCTATGAAAAGATGAGTCAGATGACAATGGAAAAAATTGGACTTTATTTTTGATATTTAGTGAAAGGGAGGAACAAAATATTTTCCACATTTCAGTTGCTACAAAATACTCTGAGGTTTAAATCTAAATCAGAGACAATACACTAATATAACTCTTTTCATTGTAAAATATGTTACATACAGAAGATTGAAGGTAATTAATATGTATAATTTTAAAAGAATAAAAGTAGAATGAATAGCCATGTATTAACTACCCAGGTCTAAGAAGAGAATTAACGGGTTCTTTTATTAAGATAACAAGTAATGAGGGCCGGCCGAGTGGCTCAGTTGGTTAAAAGCTCAAGAATTTGAGCTCTGAGCAACAGCGATTCGATTCCCGGCACGAACTGAGCAGCCGCTGAGCTGCCAACAGGTGGCAGGATGGCTCAGCTTAAAAAAAAAAAAAAGATAAGTAGTGGAGGCAGAATAAGTTCTGTTTTATTTTGATAGTGATGGTGAGGGAGGTTGTAGGGTTGGACTTATTGAATTTGAAATACTTTTGATATATAAAAGTGCCACTGTCTGAAGACATTCAGAGAAATCTGAGTTGGAGATATATTTTGGGGTGTCATTAGAATGTAGATCAGTAGTTGTTAACTTTTTGGGACTATTACGAACTTTACATTTTCGTATGTTCACACATATGTAAGGGCATTTTTGGACCTCTTAAAGTCCATTCAGGTTGCTTCTTCCCTCTATGCAACCCCAGGAAACAGATCATATGTTAAAAACTGATAATATAAATATGGGTTGTCAGAAAAGTCATGATGCATTTTTGCAACGAAAAACATAGAAAAAATATGTCATGACTTTTCTGACAAGCCAATAATAATTGAAGCCATAAAAATAATAATATCCAAGGAGAGTATGTAGAAGAAGAATAGAGGGCCTAGGATGGAGAGCTGAGTAATATCAACATTTAAGGGATGGTTAGGAAGAAGGCCATACAGAGGAAACAGAGAAAGAGCTGCCAGAAATGAAGAAGAGTACTGGGTCATGGTTCCCAAGAGAGTGTTTTGAGAAGGATAACGTTAGCAACTATGTTCACATCATGCAAAGAAAGCAAGTAAGGGTTGAGATTCAAAACTGTGGCAGAATTAAAATGAAGATAAATACTGCTTAGGCATAAATTCACAGACTTAGAGTTTCCTCAGGCCTCATTCTTTGTGTTAAAATCAATTATTAACAGGTACAGAACTGTCAGATTCTCTGAAACACAAATTGGATTTGAAATTCCAAGGATATTAGCAGCAAGCAACATCGCTCTACGACTCCTGCATACTCACTATGATCATGTCACGCCACTGCGCACTGTTCCAACATTATTACCAAAACGTACTTCCACAATCACTCACTTAGCCAAAGAGGAAGTCAAGAACGTAGAAGCGGCACTGAGCAAAGAATTCCAGGAAGAGTATAAACATCAAAAAAGTGAGTCTCAATCAATTCATAAGGAAGAAATAAAAGATGAAGAGCAAGTTGATATTGAAGTTCAAACGGTAGGACACATTTAGGTGTATATGCTTTTTTTCCTTCATTTGACAAATGTTATTAGACTCCCTTGCAGCATTCTCAAGGTTTTTTCCTAAACAACTAAAAATTGTCTGAAACCCACTTTCTTGTCAATAGCCTAATTTTGAATGTGTATCTATCTATCTATCTATCTATCTATCTATCTATCTATCTATCTATCTATTTTTTTTTCCTTCTATTAAGAGTCGCTATTCATAGTTGAGCCTGTTGCTTCAACATCCTAAAGTTCAGCATAGGAGTTGATCGTTTTCTTTTAGGTACAGTCCTGAAAAGCTTTGAAAGAATTTAATTTTTGTGTATTCTATTTCAAATTCACTGAAGGGAGTTTGCCATTAAATAAAAATTTGCAGTAAATACTTTTACAAACTGAGGGATTATCTTACATTACTCTCTTACTTCCTCAGCTTTGGGTTTTGTAAGAACAAATTTTATAAAGTAAAGATTAATTTTCTTAAACTATTGCACTCTCTTAAAACTTAACATCTTTAGATATAACATTATTTGAGTAATTTAATAACCATATTCCTTTAGGTTTCTGCTCTTTTTTCTATTTCCAGGATCTTTAAGCTATTTAATATGTTAGAATAAGTGGTCTCTTTAGAATTTAGTAATACTGTCTCAGAACTAAGCAGCTTTTTTGTTTGGCCATACACAATTTGCATTTTGGGAAGGACCAGAAACAGCGGGTTTTCCTACAAGTGTTTAAGACATAAAGTGTATTGGTTTATCTTCTTTAAACACAGGAAAAGCTTAAGAATTAGATTGAATACAAATTTTAAGTCAGACTTGGAATTATTAGATATTCTAAGAACATATTTAATTGAATATTCCATTTGAAATATTACATCAGAATAAAAAAAATTATAAAGGTTCTATAGCAATACAGAATGTAGATATGACATGATGGTCAGTACAAAGAATAGTATTTAGAGTATTATTACAACCATGTAAAAATTAAAAAGGCATAAGGGGAGGAGAACCCAGAAATCTATATATAGCTGATATTTTAGAGAGGTGGAAAATAAGTGATTTGTTCTTCAAAATTTGTCACTTAAAAAAAAGTGTTCTTTGAGCAACTCGATAGCTTTTAAAATAAAAAACAAATTCAGTTTACCTCTCAGGTAACGTACTAGCTTTACTAGAATTCAACAATATTTCCAGTCCTCTTCCTTTTCCTGAGCATATGGGGTGACTACATTCTTCACCCCCTCGAAGTTAGGTGTGACTATGCAATTTGCTTTAGCTAATAAGATGTGAGTGGAAGTGATATACTCATTTTTTTTTTAAAGAAATTTTATTGGGAAACAGTGTGATTTTCCAGGACCCATCAGCTCCAAGTGAAGCAGTTGTTTCAATCTAGTTGTGGAGGGTGTTTTTCCAGGATACAGCAGCTTCAAGTCAAGTAGTTGTTTCAATCTAGTTGTGGAGGGCACAGTTCCTTTGCCCATGTGGGAATCAAACTGGCAACCTTGGTGTTACAAGCCTGCGCTCTAACCACCTGAGCTAACTGGCCGCCCTGATATATTCATTTTTAAGGAGGGAAAAAAGGAGCAAACGGGCCCTGGACTTAACAATATTTAAATATACTAAAGAAAAAGAAATCCCATTAACTTAAAATTTGGCAGAATTTGTGATTGAAAATTCATAAAAACAAAGAACAAATAAAAGGGTATCAAAATCATTGTATGAAAAATGTATCTAAAAATGTTTGGTCTTGATCTTTTAAAAATATTGGATAATGTCTCCCCTCAAGTTCCTTGGTCACAATTATTATTTTATGAAAACCCATTAACATTTTACCCAAGAATTTTACATTATTTATTTTAAAATTGTGAAATAATAATTTGAAAATATATAATTTGAAATACTGAATTTACATGGCTAATGCAATTCTTTCTTATGCACGTGTATCTTAGCTAAAGCAGACTCATGCATTGATGATTTATTATAGTTTTGTTAATTTTGAAAATAGTTTTATATTTTAAAATGTACATATGAATTTACTGTAATACTAAACAGTGCAGTTATATATTTTTCTCAAGGTCTGTCATGTATTACAGTAAGGAGTCATTTCTTATGCTCTGAGCCATTGAGCTCAAAGGTACCAAACTAAGCTTTCCTCAGTTTGACCCTTAGTAATGTTTTTAACTACACTTGGTTCTTCCGTTATTATTTAATATTTTATTGAACAGTTTCAACTTATAATGGTGACTAAAGGAATGCTAATGCTAATATTGATAATACCACAAAGGTACACCATGGAAAAGCATTCTACCCAATGATAAAATTCATGATTTATGCAATATTGAGGCTGTCCTCAAATAAGTAGCCAGAGAAAAAAAAGATCAGCAGGCAATTAGTGATATGGCAGAAATAGTTTTACTTTATGAAACGTCTCCTCAGAGCTTGGGAAGCTTGACCAAGAATTATGTGAATGGCAGATGGAGTTACATGGCTGGAGGAACTTTATGTTATCAGGGGATGGAAAAGAGAAGAAAATTGAGAATAACATTAATTCAGTTAGCACCCCTATTTCCGGGACCTATCCTCTCATCACACCAAACAGGCATGTGTGTAGATGCTTCTGCTTAGTTATGTGTGTGCTGTCATCCTTTAAAATCCCACGCAGCATTCTGAAAAAGGTAATGTGAGTAATGCTGAAGTCTGTATGGTTTCCATAGAAACAGAATCTCACAGTAGTGGTTAAGCGTACCAAGGCCGGAGGAAAAACCAACTCCTGTGCCAAAGGAGGATGCCGGGGAGCAGAGGGCAGGTGCAGGCAGCAACTGTGTTGAGTGAAGAATTTCCCAGCTCACAACCACTTGCCAAGCTAAGCTGGGTAGGAAAGGGGAGTAGACTTAAACAATTGTCAGCTGGGCCTGCACGTGCCACTGATTCTCAACAGCGTAAACCACCTTTTGTAAGTGTGAGTAGCCTGCAGGGGCAAAAAAAATCATTGGATTTATAAACAGAATCAACGGCTCAAAAGAGGCGGACAAAAATAGTTTGGTTTAATTTATGGGGGGTGGAGGGAAGTAAAATAAATGGTGGAAAGAAGTCAGAGGTCCAGTATCTCTATAAAAGGAGTTCCAGAAATCGAGAAGGGAAAGGATGAGTTTAATATAATATTTGGCACTGGGACAGCTGTCTAAGATTTGAAATAAAACAAATCTCCATTTATACTTTACAGACTAAATATAAAATAACAGGTTAAATGTTTAACTATAAAAACTAAGCTAAATAAAACTCATAAAATAATAGAAGTATTTAAAGAGAACAAGGGGCAGTTATTTTATTATCTTTACTAAGAAGGTCTTTGTTATTTATCAGTACATCAAAACTAAGATCATAAAAGAAAAGGAGATTAATTTGGTTCAAATATTTGTATAGTCAAATATACCTCACTATAAAGAAAGTTGAAAGACAATGAATTGAGAAAAATATTTAAACACATAAAACAAAGGGTTAATAGTCAAAATATAAAGAACTCATACAAATTGGTAAGAAGACAATTTCCTGATATTAAATGAAGCAAAGGACTCCAGTAGACAGCTGAGAAAAGAAATGCAGCTAGCCAATAAAAATATGAAAAGATGCTCAACCAAATAAGTAATCAAATTAGAACTTATCAGATTGAGCATGGTGGGGGGCGGGCAGGCAATTTCACATACTATTGTTAGAAGTGCAAATTTGTACAGTCTTTCTTAAGAGCAATTTGGCGCTATAAATGTGCCTGTTATTAGTAATTTTAACTTTAGTAATTTATTATTATAAAATAAGATGCCAAGTGCTGGCATACCTCATTTTATTGTGCTCCACTTTATTACACTTCATAGGTGTTGCACTTTTTACAAATTTAAGGCAAGGCCTTCCATCAGCAAAAAGATTATGACTCATTTTATTGCGGTGGTCTGCAATTGAACCCACAATATCTCAGAAGCTTGCCTATAAATAAAAATAAATGTGCTACAATGTTTATTAGACTAGTTTTTTATTATAGAAAATATAGTTTGCAGTTTAAATTAATTATAAAATATTCAACAATCACATTAGCAGCCATTCAAAATTATGATATAGATTTTATATACTTTTTAATTTTTAAATTTTATTGAGATATAATTGATATATTAGTTTCAGGTGTACAACATGATGATTTGATATTTGTATATGCTATGAAATGGTCATCACAATAAGTCAAGTTAATATCTGTCACCACACATGGTTACAATTTTTTTTCCTTGTTATGAGAACTTTTAAGATCACTCTTAGCAACTTTCAAATATATTGGGTTGTCAGAAAAGTCATAACGTATTTTTTTCTATGTTTTTCGTTGCAAAAATGCATCATGAGTTTTCTGACAACCCAATACAATACAGTAGTATTAATAAAAGTGACCATGCTGTACATTACAATCCCAGGACTTATTTTATAACTGGAGGTTTGTACCTTTTGGCCACCTTTACCCATTTCACCCAACCCTCCCACTTCTGACAACCACCAATCTGTTTTCTGTATCTATGGGTTTGGTTATTTGTTTGTTTATTTATTGACTTATTTACTTCCATGTATAAGTGAGAACATATGATATTTGTCTTTCTCTGTCTGACTTATTTCACTTAGCATTTGCCCTCAAGTTTCATCCACACTGTCACAAAAAATGGCAAGATTTTCTTCTTTTTTTAATAGCTGAATAATATTCCATTATATACCACATTTTGGGCCAGCTGAGTGGTGTAACTGTTGGTTAAGAGTTGGCTTGGGCAGCCGTCCAGAAGCCAGCAACTGATCTGCCTCGCCCGGGAAGAGCGCAATGATGGTGCCAACTTGGGCCAGTGAAGCGACGTCCTCCACAACCAGACTGAAGAACAAAACGACAACAACTTGTCTGTTCCCCTTCCCCCAATTCCCCAGCACTGTTCCCATCCCCCCAATTCCCCAATAAAAATCTTAAAAAAAAAAAAAAAGA